TGATCTTAATGATATTATGAGTCAAGAGGGAAAAAAAGGAGAAAGAATTAGGTCACTATCCTTTTTAAGGAATTTGTCAATAAAATGGGAATGTTAGAACTCAGAATGGTGGGACATCCCTTCACTTGGAGGAACAATAGAGAGGTAGAAGGATATGCAGAAGAAAAATTAGATAGGTTGTTTAGTTCATTGAGTTGGTCCTTTCACTATCCTAAAGCCTCAGTTCACGATAAATTCAAGAGTTCCTCTGATCACAGCCTTCTTATGCTGAACTGCACTCAAAGGAAAATTTATAAAAAAGAAAATATTTTTCTTTGATAGAAGATGGCTATCAAAACCTGGACTCAAGGAAACTGTGGAAAAAGAGTGGACCAAGGATCAATCAGGCACTTCACTGCCCAAATTTCAGGCAAGAATTAAGGAAACAAGAGTGAAAATTCTAAAATAAAGTAGCTCCTTCAAAAAAAGCAAATGCAAGGAAAATTGAAAGATTCCATAGCGAGCTTGCTGAGATGAGAAAAAGTGGGAGCCTATTGACTGGAATTAGTGGGATACTCTGAAGAGGGAATTGAATGCAACCTACAGCTATGAGGAGCAATATTGGGAACAAAACGAAAGGGTCAATTGGTTAACACATGGAGACAAAAGTTCAAATTTTTTCCATGTTCAAACAATCCAAAGAAGAAACAAGATAGCTAGAATCATTTGTGAGGATTCCACTATTATGAAAAGCTGTTCTCCTCTGAGAGGTCTGAAGAAGGGAAAGGTTACTTCAAAACATAGCTCCTGTCATCACAAGGGAAATGAACTTTGAACTTGTGGCACCTATTAGAGATGTGGAAATCAAAGAACCTTGTTCAGTATCAATCCAAACAAAACACCAAACACAGATGGTATGGCCTCTATTTTCTTCCAAAATTTCTGGTACCTCATTCATGTAGAATTATGTGTTGTTGTTAAGAGCTTTTTTTTAGTATGGTAGACTTCTCAAAAGTATTAATCATACTTTAATTACTCTCATTACCAAAGTTCAAAACACTGAGAAAGTCTCCCACTACAGACCAATCAACATGTGTAGTGTCACTTATAAAATTATCTCTAAGCTGTTTGCCAAAAGACTTAAACTTTGTCTCGCTGTTTGATTCCATTACCTTACTAGATAAGCGAAAACAAGACCAAAACGTAGTGTCAGTCGTACATTCAACATAGCGTTTGACCGACTTAGCGGAGCCGCCAGAGGAGGCCGAACCAAACGATAGCGGCTTAAAGAAAAGCTTATCACGACCTTAATGGCCTTGATCGGCGGGGAGAAGCATCTCAAAGTATCTTGCTTGAAAGAAATAGCTTGCTTTGTTAGCATTTTAATGTATCAATACCATATATTATCATGATATATTTACGACTAAATTAATATATATTTTACTACATAGATCAATTATACATGTCTATATTATCACTATAAAATATACATCTTATAATATACTAGTACCACATTAAATAAGATATTATCATAATATATATGATAACTATGAATTATTTTTAGAAGGTTGAGTATATATATATTATATTAAATCATAAATCAACTAACATAACATAATAAATATTAGTTAAAAATAATAATAAAGATTAAAATATAAGCCCGTAGAAAACTCAAAAAATGCATAATATGTTGACATCGTTGGGTAGAGTTATCTCGAACTGTCCTCTATAGACAGAAGACTTCTCAGGACGGAAAATTTCTCATGACGTGAATTATTTTGTTCGCAGCCTCATATTCACAATTTTTTTTTTCGAAACGATAGAATTTATAACTTTAAATAATGACCGAATTCGAAGGCTAACTAGCCAAACAAGCAACCAAACGGTTGAAGAGGAAGAACACTACAAAGTGCCCTAAACAACTAAGCCAACTATACTCAAGGAGACTTCTTGCCCCGACAAATGAACAAAGGCATTGGAGTCTGGGTAAGAACCTCCTCTTGTACCAACAAAAAGGAAGAAAGCAACTGGTCTAAGACCCTAGCTTAAATCCACAAAAGACTAGCAGCAAGGGGAACTAACATTAAGACTGTACATAAAAGCAAAAACCAAAAAACGAAATCTACCAGAACTAGAGCTAACCACTAAACCAACACCAAACAAAACAAGGGAAACCAGCTAAATTCTACTAAACTCCAGCCACTCTTCCAAGGCCACATTTTCAACAACTATTTATGTCCTCCAGGTTTGTTGGAACACCCACAAGTTTCTGGCTTTCCATATCCACCAAAGCAGATAAGCAGTAAACTGAAGTCTAGCATCAGAAGTAACAGAAGAAGGAATATAACATATCTTGTTCCACCCAAGTTTGAATGTCGTGAGAAATGAGTTCAATTCCATCCCAGGACAGAGGGGCAAGCATCCATATCCTTCTTGTTTTGGGTCAGGTGAAAAACGAATGCTCAATTGGTTCAAGGGCTTCTCCACAGGCTGTGCATAGAGTATCCATCTTCACTCCTCTCTTAGAACGATTGACATTAATAGGAGGAGCATTGTTCAGACACTTCTAGATGAAGTGTTGGATTTTTATTTTTATCTTCAGCTCTCAATTCTTTTTCCCAGCTTCTTGCTTCTACATGACCTTTGCTTGACTCTGCTACATCCAACAATTTCTATTTTTCACAGACTAAGTAGTCATAAGACGCTGCCACTGAGTGTTTACCATTTTTTCCACAATGCCACACAAATATGTCTTCTTCTTCTTCTGGCTGAAGGCTCTTGATATTCAAAATGGCCTCTTGTTCCTGTGTTGTGAAAATACTCTGAATAAGCTCCTTGTCCCAGCGTCTACCTGTGTCATATGTAAGCTCTTTCACCCAAGTGACCTCATGGTGGGATGCCTATTGGCTTTTGGAATGAACTCCGGCTGATCAGGAATCCAGGGGTGTTCAAAGATTTTGATGGAGGCTCCATCCTTCACCTCATATTTGATTTCTTTGTGGAAAGTATCTCTAACTTTGAGCGAGCTATGCCATAACCAAGACCATGTTTGCTTATGTTTCACAGAGAAAAAGTTGTCACTTGGAAAATATTTAGCTTTTATACACCTACTGACCAAAAGGTTTGGCTGAGTTAGCATCCTCCAGAGTTGTTTGGTGATCAGTGCCTTGTTCATCGGGTGGATGTCATGGAACCCAATGCCTCCTTTACCAATAGGTAAGGTCAATATCTTCCAGGATCTTCAGTGTACATCTTTCCTTTCAGAGTTCCTTGTGTTCCACAAGAAAGCAATAAAAAATTTTGCAATTTTTGCACAAACTATTTCGGGATTGAAAAACAATACATTGCATAAATAGACAAGGCATTAAGGACTGCTTTGAGAAACAGCTCCTTCCCTATAATAGATAAGTTTTTTCAAGCCTCAACAATAAAATAAAAAGTCTCAATTTTGTTATGCCTAATACCCAAAGACAACCCAAGATATCTGGAGGATTTTTGAGGGGTTATGCCTAGGAGAATGTTACAGATTGAGTTTTGAACCGAGACTGGGGTATTTCTGCTGAAAAAAAGGAAGGATTTGCTGAGATTAACTTTCTGACTAGTTAGTTTTTGGTAGTTTGAAGGATAGAGATCAGGGTAATGGTTTGGTTTGGTTCAGCTTTGGCAAAGAGAAGAGTATCATCTGCAAAAGAACAAATGAGAGAGACTAGGTCCAGACTTTGAGATTTTTGATTCCTTTAAGATTTCAGTACGGGTTTCCTGCTTGATTAGATGAGTTAGGATTTCATATATCAGAATGAAAACACAGGGGGACAAGGGGTCCCCCTACCTAATCCCTCTAGTTGGTTTAACATACCCACAAGATTCTCCATTGAAATTAAAAGAAAAAGAAACAGAAGAGATGCAAGAGATAATCCAATTCACAAAAGAGGAGTTAAAATCCAGTTTAATCATTATTTCACTCACACTCTTCCACTCCACTATGTCAAAAGCTTTCTCTATATCAAGTTTCAGAGCCATATAGAAATTAGTGCCACTTCTTTTCCTGTTAAGATAGTGAATGACTTCATGGCTAAGGATCGCATTATCCTTGATTTGCCTATTAGGGGCAAAGACAGCCTGGTTATCACTTATACATTATAGCAATGATAGGACATGTTTGTGAATGAATTGATCTCCTAAGAAGAATGTTATAAGCCCTCTTAGAAAATATCAATAATTTTGGCCTTCCTATAAAAATATTTTATGCTCTCCTAGAAAATATTAATTTATCATGTGTCGACCAACAAATCAATTTAAAAGAAAGTGAAATTTTGAATGTTGAATAATAAATTTACATCAATTACAAACATAAATATTTAAATGTTTGCTATAAAATATATACGCACACTAGGTATGACAATAAAAACCAACACATTGAAAAAATAAATTTGGCACATTAATAATTTTTCACCAACTACAAAAATAAATGTTTAGTATATATTATAAAAACAAATAAACAACCAATCTTTTATATCACTACCCAGTTTTTAGTTTGATGATTACAATTTATATATATTTTACATATTTGTGCTTTTATATTTTTTATATTTATTTTATTAATTAATTATACCACTTTTTCTATTATAATGAACCACATCATAGTCCAAGTTGTTGTACACATAAAAATTGAAGGATATTTTTATTATTTTGATACCTATGATTCATTCTCATTTTTTATCAGATAAATCACATCATACCTCACATATGATGCTCTCATATCAGGATAGGAATTCACTCTACTTTTCGTTTAATCTTTGTTGATTCTGAAAACCAAGAGTTGAAATCTTTGAAGGTCTTGTGACATAATCTGTCTAATGTCTATGAACTCTTCATTCATTCAATGCTTCAGTTAAATTTTTGGATAATGTGAGAAAATATTGGTTTGTAATGTATGATCAGCTGCTCGAGAGTACGCCGTCCTTCGCGTCAACTTTGACATAAATCTCTGGTCAT